AAACCCTTCGCCCCGGTCTTGTGTGTCTGGCCATTTTGGCCCAGTATCGATCGCCGAAACAGATGTCGAGGAAGGTCACCAAGGCTCTCCTCAACGTTACAGGGCTGCCTGAAATATTGGACGACATCAGGAAAGACCACAAAATCGAGAAATTGTCCAACGGTTTCTGTCTCGCATTGATTGAGCGCATCACCAAGAGAGGAGACACGACTGGTCTGCAATTCATCGAGGCAATTGTACCGAAGCAGATACTCAGCGCTCCCCAGATGTCTGTGGTATTCAAGTCTCTTATGCTGGCAGCTCACAGGGTAGACGATTCGGTTGACGAGAATGGCATGGTTCGACAGGAACTCGCCGCTACAATTGTTCGACTATCACAAACCACAGGAGCCGCGGCCGAAGTATTTGCGAAGGCGATCACGGATACCGAGATTGATGTTGAGGCTCTCGAGCTGAGACTCGACACCAAGCTAAGGCCAAAGGCTATTGCCCAGGCTGAAGACGCCCCTGTGACAGACACAAATGGAGATGTGCCAATGGTTCCCGAAGACTTCGATACCATCTTTGATCGCGTCAATCAGCACGCGACTGCCACGGCGACGTCTTGTCTTTTGCCCACGCCCCCAGATGTCTTCACAGATCTCTGCTCTCTGTATCTGTCTGCCGTTCCTGATCGCGGAAACCTGGCAACCTTCCAAAGAGCTGCTGCTGTCCAACGGGGTGAAGCGCCCAACAACCCCTTTTTCTTCACCTTCCTGATTCGAATCTGGTGTGGTCCTTACCCGACTCTGGCTCGATCGAATGCGCTAGATATGGCCAAAGATCGCATCAAGTCGGGCGACTGCGAGTCAGTCGACTTCCAGTCGCTGCTGCCATACTGCGTCGCAGGCCTCAGTGACCCAGCCAAGAAGGTCCGTCGCTCGGCCGCCGATCTCATCACAGTGTTGGACGGACTCGCTGCAAGCAATCCTGAGCCTTCCGCTCATTGGGCAACTCGCGGTCTCTATGGCAAGCCAGAACCGGCCACAGTCTTGGAAAGAAATGCGGTCCGCAAACTGCTGCAGAGCGTTCTGATGCCCTCTCTTGAAGAGTGTGTTCTCAATGTCGATCACATACATGCCGTTGTCCAGTCCTCGCTCGGAAGCAGTTCTCGTTCTTCCATTGATGGAAGCGAAAAGGACAAGAAGAGCCACATGTCCCATGGAATCAGGCTAGCTGTACTGAGCTTCCTTGCTGGCCATGTTGTGGAAACCCCACTGCTCCCTGTCAAGCTAAGACTCTTGCAGCCACTCAACCAAGTCAAGGGCGTTTCGGGTACAACCCGCACACAATTGCTCCTACCGCTGCTGAAGTGGTGGGCGTCCCTCTCGGCTGAGGCAGCGAGCAGCTCATGCCAAGAGCACAGCATCAGCGAAGCAGCAATGGATACTGCCACCGTTGATTCGGTCGTGCCGAATGACAACGAGGGCCTCGAATTCCTACTCCAGTCTGTTCAGACGCCTGTGTTGTCCACTAGGCAGAACCTCCTCCACGCCGTTTTTGTTCGCATTGAAAAGATGTGGCCATCGATGAAGACAGAGACAAGACACGTAGTAGCTGATCAGCTGCTGGTGATGGCCCAGGAAAATGCATCGGGAGAGAGGTCGCCTGTCGCCAACGAAGCAGCAGAAGTCCTGCGGAACGTAGAGCTCACCACTGAGAACCTTCTTTCATTCCTGGACTCTTTGCAAAATGCTGCCAAGATGGCAAATGAGACGCCTCCGAGCAAGAGACGGCGGACAAGTTCATCAGAGGCCCGCGGCGCTATATCTCAACCTGATCATGGGTTGACACAAGCATTGAGACAGGTGACATTTGTCCTTCAACTAGTTGAAGGATCTGATCCCGCCAAACACCCTCATATTCTCAATGCTCTGTTCAACACCTTGTCGGAACTGCAACACTTCCGGACTCTGCTTGGCTCGGAGCTCGGATACCTGCAAAACCTCGTCCTTCGAAGCTTGCTGGCTATCGTCCCTGCCTACAGAGATGACAAGGCGCTCAAGATCGATGGATCTGGCGGCCATGGCGATCTACTCGTTAGCTGCATCCAAAAGTCATCGAGTCCCGCTGTTCAGAACACCGCTTTACTACTTGTCGCAAGCCTGGCCAGCGTGGCGCCAGAGCTGGTATTGCACAGCGTCATGCCCATCTTCACTTTCATGGGCAACTCTGTTCTTCGCCAGAGCGACGATTACTCCGCCCACGTCATCAACCAGACCGTAAAAGAAGTTGTACCGCCGCTCATCCAATCCCTTCGCAAGGGCAAGAAGAGCCCGGTTGCTGGAGCTGCGGAACTCCTGCTGAGCTTTGTTACCGCTTTCGAGCACATCCCATCTCACCGGAGACTCGGTCTTTTCGTGTCACTGCTCGAGGTGCTTGGCGCAGAAGACTTCCTATTCGCATTGCTGGCTATGTTGGTAGACAAGTATGGCTCGACTGCCGACGTTATGTCCTTTGCAAGCCAAGTCTTCCACCAGTTTGGTGTAGAAGTTGAGTTGCAGACTGTGATCAAGCTGATCAGCCTGACTGGTGACTTGTTCCAGCCTCGGCCTGTTCTCTCCGCTGCGCTACTGAGCACCAGCGAGGACCGTGATCGCGACCCCCAGAAGATTGCCCTTGCTCAGCTGGACTTGCCTCCCCGCCTGCTGTCTAGCAAGAAGTTGATCTCGCAGATTGGAAAATTGACCGAGAAGGATGACATGGACGCGGCTAAGATTCGTGAATTATACTCGACACTTCTGGAGGATCTCCTTTCCCTTGCCGAGAGCCTGAAGCCGTACAAGGCACTGCACGACAGGTGTGGTGACAGTTTGCCCAAGTTGCTCAATCTCCTACCTATTGGTGAATTCGTCAAGGCGGTTGAAAACCTCTTGGATCGTCCCGACATTGTCATTCGTCGCAAGGTCCTACGAGCACTGCAAGTGCGCATCGAGCGCGAAGGCCAAGCAGATGCCCTGTCCAGGACTGCATTGCTGGCTTTCTTGCCACAACTCACTGCCATTATCAGAACCTCGGACGACATGACTTACAAGTATGTCGCCGTGGAGTGTGTGGACGTGATTGCACAGAAGTACGGAAAGAAGGATCCGGAGGCTGTTTCGGCCGCGGCCATGACCATTGCAGGCGATCAGTGCCTGGGCCAAAGCGACGTCCGTCTGCGGAGTCTGGGATTGCTGTGCTTGGCATCTCTGGTCGACGTGCTGCAAGATGGCATGGTCCCAGTCCTGCCAGCTGCTACACCAAAGTGCCTGGCGTATCTGAAGGAGTCTATCGTAGACGCGGCCAAGAATGCGGCGCTGCACAACGCATGCTACACCTTTATGCACGCCTTGGCCCAGCACTTGCCGTACATGCTGTCTGGTTCGATACTGCAGCAGCTGCTTGCCGTGTCGAGCGAGTCTGCAGCAGCTGAGCTCGATGCTGATGCAAGCGACTCTCGTGTCCAATGTCTTCAGTTCCTCGCCAAGACCGTGGACGCCAAGGCAATCTTTGCTGCTCTCGAGGCCAACTGGGTCGTGGCGGCGGATCACGGTTTCAACGTAAGTGCATTATTGCCTGACGCCAACATTTGTACAGCGCTAACATATCAACAGGCTACCATGGAATACCTTGATATCCTCGGCCTGGCCATTGACAAGCACAGCAAATCGGACATTTCCAAGAATGTCAGCTCCCTCCAAAACATCTTCCTGTCGGCCCTCGACCTGCGCCGCGTCGACCACGGCAGGGGCGAGGTCAGCAAGAACAGCGCTCGTAACATTGCTCGCATCGAGGACACCGTCAACGCCGTGGCCCTGCGCATGATCTACAAGCTCAACGATGCTGCTTTCCGGCCCATCTTCTCCTCGCTCATGGATTGGTCCGTTGGTCCGGACCTGGCGCAATCCGACGCTGTCGGCCGCAATCTCCGCCTCCTGGGTGTCTTCTCGTTCCTGCTGTCCTTCTTCGACAGCCTCAAGTCCATCGTCACGAGCTACGCCAGCTACATGGTGGACCCGGCCGTGGCCACGCTCCAGCGACTCGACCCCAAGCAGGGCGGCGAGCAGAAGGACCTGTGGCGCAAGATCCTGAGCACCCTGGCCAAGTGTTTCGAGCACGACCAGGACGACTTCTGGCAGGCGCCGGCGCACTTCTCCGTCGTGGCGCCCGTGCTGACGGGCCAGGTGCTGCACGCGTCGTCGGCTAGCGGCGCCGACGTGGTCGCGCACGACCTGGCCCCCGCGCTCGTCGAGCTGGCCGCGGCCGCCGACTCGCAGGACCACCACAAGGAGCTCAACGCGGCGCTGCTGCGGCACCTGCGCTCCGAGTCCGCCGGCGTCCGCCTCGCCGCCGTCCGCGCCGAGCAGAAGCTCACGGAGCGCCTCGGCGAGGACTGGCTCGCCATGCTCCCCGAGATGCTGCCCTACATCAGCGAGCTGCAGGAGGACGACGACGAGGACGTCGAGCGCGAGACGCAGCGCTGGATCGTCGGCATCGAGGGCATCCTGGGCGAGAACCTCGACGCCATGTTGCATTAAGATGTGAGAATGGAGGATATGGAGGGAGAAAAGACGTCAGAGGCGGAAAAGAAAAAGTAGAGGCGTTTCTTGTGTTGCATATGGGTGTTATAGGGACGGGCCCGTTGATTAATTTACATACAATTTCGAAATTTCAATCTACCTATAAACAAATTTTGGTGTTCACGATATTCAGCACTGTTTCTGTTTCACGTACAAATGTCACCCACCCACATGATTGACTACCTGCTTGCCTCGGGTCTCGAAATCTTGATAGACACTACATTACTCGCAACATGGCTCGCATGGATGACCTGCCTAGCCATTAATCCGGACCCAGTTCTCGTCAGTCACCAAAACAGAAGCAAAGCAAAGAAAAAGTTTTTCAGCTTAGCCAGTCTGTCCCACGCTCAAGTAGCAGCATAGGCGACGACCACTTCAACAACAGCAAGAACACAAAATTCCGATATGGTGTAGTGGCTAACATATGACGCTCTCATTCCTTATGATCCGTCATGCCCGGGGTTCGATTCCCCGTGTCGGAGATCTTTAGTTGTTTCTTTTTGTGTCTATTTCGTTCATTTTTTGTCGGTATGCTTCTATGATGCAAGATAGATTTTATACTTTTTTCTTCTCCCTTCCCTCATCCACGAAAAATTATTATGTTTGCTTGCACATGCGCAGAAGACGGAGTTCTAGGGACGAACTTGACAAACTATACTTGTCGATATTGGTGAGAGAACAAGAACAAATCCTTTAAAGCATGGAGTATGTTATGCTGCTGGCACGCGATACAGTCGCCGTCAAGACTCGGAGGTCATGGCCTAAACCTAACCCCATTTTGCCTTGACCGCGCTGTCAGGTTTATTCGTCAGGGAAAATCAGAATCACGTGACAAATCAGAGAGCATACCAGGAGGTGACAAGATCGAAACGAATAATTTCTCGAGTCTCACAAATTGCAGCGAAATGATGGAGAAAGTGTTTTGACAGAGACAAGACAAAAGTGGCCAAGTCGCGCAATTGCGACGACTATGGCAAGTTACTTGTATTTGATCTGTAGCTAATAAATCTTGCGTACGGGCCAGCTGCGGCTGTTCCCGTGGCATTTTGATGTTATTTTAAATTTGAGTCTTAGCCAACGTGAAATAATTCCCATGTGGCCAATGTATAGAATTGAACTTGGTTGGAGCATCGGTCGTCAAAAATCAGGAAACATAGAATCATGGCGTTTGGAGCAGGAAGTATAAAGAATCCGTTTCCAATCCTCCTCGTCGCTCCAATGAAGGTGGATCCGAGTCGGCTGAGCGTGTCCCTTTTCCATAAGCGTACGTCTTTCGAAAGCAATATGTAGAAAGGTGCTTAGGCGGTTGCGCTCGCCACTCGGCCCAAGTTCTCGCGCTCGAGGAGCAGCTCAGTGAAGTTCTGATCAGCGGGCTTGGAAGCCTTGATCTCCTGAACGACCTTGGTGTCGATGCCCAACTGTTCGTCAGTCCATAGAGGAGTTTCAACGTGACCGCCCTCAACTCCGACATTGACGAATCCACCCTGGGCGGCCCAGTCCGAGGTGCGCTTGATACCGAGCTTGGTCCAGACATCCTCGAGGGCGTTGACCAGGTGGTCGCGGTATTGCTTCTTGTGTCCGGGCGTGGGCGTGATTCTCAGTCGCTCCTCGCCGCGGGGCACAGTCGGGTAGTTGATGGACTGAACATAGATCTGGTGGTCTTGGAGGAGCAAATCCGATGCCTTCTTGGCAAGCTCGGCGCTTCCCACCAGGATGGGGATAATGTGCGAGGGGTTGGGCATGACGGGAATGTCACGGGCTTCCAGCTCCTCCTTGACGGCGCGGGTGTGCATCTGCTGCAGGAAGCGGTCACCCTTGTGCTCCATCTGATACTCAATGGCGGTCTTTGCGCCGGCCATGACGGCCGGGGGCAGGGATGTAGTGAAGATAAAACCGGGAGCCAGAGATCGGATCATATCCACAAGCTTGGACTTTCCGGCAATGTATCCACCAACACAGCCGTACGCCTTGCCCAGAGTTCCAGTAATGATGTCGACCCGGTCCTGGATGGTGCCCTCGGGTCGGCCGGCCTTGTGCGCTTCGTAGTCGAGGTGCTCAGCTACACCGGCGCCGCTCGGTCCGTACATGCCGACGGCATGGACTTCATCCAAAAAGGTAATAGCTCCGTACTTCTCCGCCAGGTCGCAAATGCCTTCAATGGGTCCAATGGATCCGCACATGCTGTACACGGACTCGAAAGCAATGATTTTGGGGGTTTCCAGTGGCAGAGACGCGAGTTTTGCCTCAAGATCGGCCAGGTCATTGTGCTTGAAAACCATCTTCCTGGTGCCAGAGTGGCGAATACCCTGGATCATGGAGGCGTGGTTCAAGCTGTCGGATAAGATGACGCAGTCTGGCATCTTGCTTCCGAGAGTTGCTAATGTGGCATCGTTTGCGACGTAGCACGAGGTGAAGACCAGGGCGGCCTCTTTGGCGTGCAGTTTTGCCAGTGTCCCCTCAAGCTCTACTGCGTGCTTGTTGTGGCCCGAGATATTTCTGGTACCACCAGCACCGCATCCGTACTCGTCCAGGGTCTTTTGCATCGTGTTGATGACCTTCTTGTTCGTGCCCATGCCGAGGTAGTCGTTGGCGCACCACACGGTCACTCGCTCGGTCTTCTCGGCCATGTGGGCCTCGGGAAACTCCTTGGCGAGACGGTTGATGTTGTTGAAGTAGCGGTAGGACTTGTCCTTGTGCTTCTTATCGAGCTCTTCCTGGTAGAAGCCGTCATAGTCGAACTTGGGCGCCGTCGAGTTCGCAGACTTGGCGTGAGCCTGGGCCGCGGCATTCTGGTGCTGCTTCAGCGGGCTGCCGGGCGGACCATGAGCTGCTTGACAGTCAGTTTCTCCAAATCTTCACCAGCATTCCTTGGAGCGCTTCTGCTTACCCTCGCGAGGAGAGAAGACACCATCCATTGCCCTGGCCTCGTGGGGGCGGCTGGTGTGGATCTTGGCCTTGTTGGTAAAGGCACGAATACCAGCGATGGCGGCGGCAGTACCGCTGAGGCCAGCGCGTGCGGACTGCACGGCGAGAGCCTTGCCCATGATGGGGCAGCGCGAGCCAAGCAGTTGCAGCTTGGAGATGGTGCCGCCGCATGGAGAAGCCGGGAGCGCAGGACGGGCGGTGGTCGACAGGGCGCGCAGAGTAGCGGGCGAGGCCTGCTTGAGGAATGGGCACATGGCCTTGGATTGACGCAAGACAGCGTCCATTTTGGGTTGGATTTCTTTTCTCGGACCAGTGGGTGTCGAATAATGTGTGCGAATTGGTAATATGAAAAAGAAGAAAAGGGAGAAGGAGATGTGAGAGAGACAGTCGTCGAAAAAAGTGCAGGTAGCACTACTCTTTTTTTCGGGGATGCGGTTTCGAAGAGGCGAGCCAGCTGTGGGGCACCTAGAATAATGGAGCGTAGCAGTGGACGAATCAACCGACCGCCATAAAGCCCCAGAGTCGATCCAAAACGGCCTTTGGAGGGGGGGGGATCAGTGCTGCGGCACGGCTATAGTACTTCCACTCAGTGTAGTACCACCAGGTATGCAGTTGATTCAGGGGATAATGGACATATGTCTTAACTATACACATGTGCATTTGAGAGCATGCCAATCTTGTTTAGAGTTCTCTTAGGCATATAGCCCGTCTAATGAACCGTCAACTTGGGATCAATCGCCTGTCTGGTGGATCAGTCCAGAGGTCCTAGAGAAAGACGGGATCTGATCTCTGTGTCATCTGGTCTCCGGTCCGTCCTCCTGTCATCGGAATCTCACCAACAAACCCCCTTCCCTTCTCTGGCACCAATCAGGGCCCAGAAAGTTCTATACTGCTGACTGATGCTAATACGCAGAGGTTTAGGTAAATTGCATTGGCAACTCTTGCCCAGATCAAGGTAGGCGGTCAGGACGGAAAACGCACGAGATTGATTTCATCGTGTCATGATGGCTAATTTTCCCCCCATCGCATAGTACGATGGAATGGAATGGCGCCGGGCTGACCCTAGGCCTCGGAATCTCGGGGTCCCGCAGGCGACTGTAGATTATATTGGCAAAAAATGTTTCGGGAATTTTGCTGCTCTCTTTTTCCCTGCCCCAACCAACGAACTGCCGGCCAGAAAGATAGTGTCCCTGCTACGGCGAATGCACCCAGCAGTTTCTGAGACAAGCAAAGCCCATTGAGCTGAACCCCACTCATGTATCTCGTTCTCGCGAAAACGAACCGAGCGCCGAGAGATGTTTGGACTGGCAGTGCTACCTAGCCCTGGACCACTATTCCGTACATGCCGGCGTGTTCGCTTCCTATTCTGTCACCTTGAATATGGAAACTCCATCCAAGTATCCTACTGACTGCATGTCTATTCACTTTCCGTGCCTAAGCATGCTGTCTTGCCCGTCTAATGCACTGCCCTTCCGAAATTATGCCTCCCTAGGCGTCTCTAGGCCCTCCCTTTCTTCATGTTGCTTACATGTGTAGGCTATGTATGTACCTAACCTCCCTAGCAACTTTTGGGGTAATTGGAATTCTTCTGATTGGTTCACCGTCTCTTCCACCTCCGCATCCACTAGGAGAAGCGAGGATCCGACCGAGATCCCAAATTGACCCTGGTCGCATCTTGCTTGCGGCGTGCCTTTTCCCGCCGGCCTTTGCTCCTCTTCCGGAGACGCCAACGCCCACAAGACTACACACACACTCGCATTGCTGAAAGTTGCCTAGGCATTCATTGCGGATCTCGGGATTCGATCTCGACTCTGTGTCTTTTCCCCTCCCCGAAATGTGCATATTCTACGACACTGCAACCCTACATTGGGGGATTGGGTCTACTTTGTATACTGAGAAGAGCCTACTTGTCTGTGCAGAGAGCCGAGGCATTGCTTGTTGTCTGTGTGATATATTGCTAGTACTTCATATGCAGCATAATCTATCTGCACGCTTGCCCATCCTTTCCTCAATGAATATACCATCCCAACATGTGCTCTTCAGGTCCTGAGTGATTACGGATGTCCGCGACCCGCTGCCTTGTCTGAAGCATAAACCTCTGCGTATCCTGACTCAGCTGTGGCTTCCGAGCCGCTGACAATCTGACAGCACACTCGTATTGCCCAGTCATGGTCCGACAACAGGCTGACAACAGGCTGGTTTTTGTCGTGTTTTCACAGAGTGAGGCCGCCCATACTTGTATGTACATTGATGGTTTCGTCAGGAAAAGAAAGTGTGCGCGCTCTGTTGGTCCGTCGTCGCCAGCGATCTTGTATATTCGCGTCGTGAACATAGCGATCGATGAACTGACCAAGTTCTTTTTCGGCGAGCAGGCGTTTCATGACGTGGTCCGGAAGACATACTAGGATCTCCCAATCGCCATCTTCAGACCTCTTTCCTTTTCGCGGCAAGGTGTAGACAGTCCCTGTTTCTCTCACCCACGGCACGCGACAAAATCTTGGGGTTCCATCGCCGCCTGTGCCTGGTATGCCAAAGTTTGTATCGGCTCCGTGGTCGA